TTAATTATTAAGTTTCTACAACTTGTAATGAGAAACGAATTGTATGTTGAGGCGACGGCTCTTTATCAACGTATACATCATCTGAAATATGAATGTAAACGGTGGTACTTTGTCGCAGATTATACTTTCGATGCTCGCGTTGCGTTTTATATCGCCAAATCAAAAGTGATTTATCCATTCTTTCGAATCGAAAATGCAAGTTGTGTGAGTAATGTATGACAGAAAGTCACGCGATATCTGTTAAATAATATTTCGTGCGTTTCGCGGTAATTCACATCGCGTACGGGAGTGCCCGAAATTTCGCGCGATCGTGGATTTTCGCGAGTGAATGTGTGTGAGTGCAACAAGGAAATCTGAGAGGAGTAGGAGGCTTGGAAGGCATCGGGCAACGGCCGATCAATCGTAAGGTGAGTGTTTTACATTTTTATAGTATTTGCTACTTGTGCAAAATGAAGCGTCTGTTCTCTGTTTTTGCTTTATTTATTTAAATGATTCGAACGAGGATTCGAATAAAGTATTAGAGACAAAACCATACATATACAATTTTGTCAGTTTATATTTAAAAGAAAGACTTCTATATAATTATTTTTATACAAAAATTTCGATTTTACATAATTAGCCTATAATAATCATACACGTATTTGTATTTTTACAGTTTAACATATACATATATTCAACGATGTACAACTCTGCTATTGCGAATCGTATCAGTGAGTGATAAATTACTTTTTATTTTAAATTGACGTTGCGCATACAATTACTTCTTCGAATGTATACAAATTCTTAAATCGATCGCTCGAGCTATCACTATTCAACGTTTACGAGCCTCTAATAACTATAACTCGTATCGTCCGCGATTACAATTTTCCCTTCCGTATCTGCCGTAATTATGGCAACTAATTTAACGCTTCCGGCGCGCCCGACGAATACACGTATCGAGCCGGATCGACGGAGATCGCTAATCTTTCTGTTATCGGAAATTGTAATTCAGTTGCGGCTAGAGAGAGAAAGAGAGCGATGAGAAACGGCCTGGATGGTCGAAAATTTCATGTCTTCCCATTATGCGTCGAGTCAAGTGGGATCATTTTTCACGCGGGTGATTCGCCTGTTCGAAAGGCGATAAGAAAGGCCGCGCTTTTTTCCCCGTTTAAGTTGACCGAAATCCATAGAGGCGATAATGTTGTCCGCACGATCACGCGAATAAGCAGAACCGACGATAACATGATAGTATAACCACACTGATAGAAAAATATGTAGTATTTGAAACTATAATTGCATAGTAAAATAATTATAGTCAGGAATATACTTTTTATAGTAATTATTACTATAATATGAGTAATAGCAACCATGTAGCCACAGTGATGCCAATTATTTAAAAAATTTACTGTAAAATATAAGCTTTTAACTATTATTCTGTTAAAATATCCAGGTAACAAATAGTAAATTAGTTAATTATTTTTATATAGTAAATACAATCGCAATAATAGTAAATTTAACTACATTTCTATCATCCACCTTACTAATCACATGGTAACCAAAAGTGAAGTGGTTCGAAATGTTTTCACTTGAGGGACGCGCGGTATATGACTTTCTCGTAAGAAGAAAACCGCACAGGGTGTAATAAATACGGATAAGTTTATACATTTGTATAAGATTACTTGTCTTTCCTTTGAAAGATGCTTTCTTGTACTAAAAAGGATAGACGCAAAACGAAACAAATGACACACTAGTTATACTATGATAACATCGCCGCGCTCGATCCTTTTTCCCGCGCTCTTCTTCTAGTTCAGGAGTGCAAACCTCGCGCTTTTTCGCGCGCTCGATTTAAATATGGAACGCAACTCCCGCCGTTTGATTCGGTGAGATTCGGTGAGGAGTCAGAGGGTCAATTCTGTATCTTACAATGTAAGGCGAAAATGCTAAAAGCGAGCCGCTGGTGTAAGATACAGAATTGATCCCCAATGAAATGTGACGCACCTCGAGCATTGTTCCATTGTTATTGCAATTCGAACGTCGATTCTTTCTATTAATTACAAGGACACTTCTCGCAAGAATTTACTACTTCGCTGTGCAGTTTTGCCCATTTCGAACGAAGCCTTGTAGATGCATTTTTTTATCGACCACAGAATACAGCTTTCAATTAATATGTTAGTCAACGTCGGTAAATACGTTTAAGAACGCGCGACGAGGTTTTCACACAGCAAAATTAAAAATAACGAAATATGGCAGTTCAATCTCGAGAGTCTTGGTTACTTCGTCTTTTTTGAAATTTAAACTAGGGAAGCGGACCACGTGAATATAACACATACTTTGATAACCATCAAAGCTGTCGATAACAATTAGCATGGCAAAGATACACGCGACCGGGGGTTCGATCGTGAATCTTTTCTCTGCGGCGTAAACTCGTGAAAAGTGAAAATTTTCATTGGCGAATTCAATAATGGTCAATAAAATTTTTCACTTTTCACGAGTTCACTCTACACTGCAAAAAAAAGTACGTAAAATTATATACGTAATAAGTGTAGCGATTGCACTATTAATAACGAAAACATATAAAATTATTTTCACTCTTTGTGCAAATACTTGCTTTTATTGGCGAAAAATTACAAGAAATTGTAACATTTACACAGTTAAAAGCAATTTAGATATGTAATTTTATCTACAAGGTGTAAATTTACTGACGTATGTAAAAACCAGGGTTAGAAAAGTTACTTTGTAAAGGTATCTAGTTACAGTCAGAAGTTACCAATTCTGAAAAGTATAGGCCTGTGTCCACGATGCTAGGACTTTGTCCAAGTTCTAGTTTCGAGAAATGTGTAGCCAATCAACCTGCAGATATTCCATAAAAGCTGCAAGGTGATTGGTTACACATTTCCCGGAACTAGAACTTGGACACAGTTACTTTGTAGTTACTTCCTTGCAATGAAAGGAAAAATGTCAAATCTTGAATTGTAAAGTGTCGATAAAAGCGTTTAAGCGCAAATGCAAGACCTAACGCGATCTATGGAGGTTTAAAAAAATATATAAAGCAACTATTAACGTAACCATCAAGTTAGTTAC